GCAAGTAGCTCAGCCAGCCCGCATCCTTCAAGTTAAAAGGACTCTGAGCTGTGAGTTGGATGAGGCCTTTGTTACAGCAGCATCCCAGTTCATCTTCTCTGCCTGCCTGGCCATATAGTCTCCATTCTCCCGAAGTCCTGCTTGTAAATCTCCATCTTCCCAAATGGACCAGGAGTTGACTTAGGGAAGCACTTAATAAAATGGACTTTGAATAGCTCGTGACATGCTGCAGCAATGCGGATAAGCTCTGAATCCTTGGTGAACTTACTGGGACACTGGTGGGAGGAAATACACTGACATTCGCAGTATCCTGGGCATTGGGAAAATGTGGGGCACAAAATCATTACAAGAGCTAATATGTAGAAAGAGTTTGGGGTGAAAGGGTTGTTCCAGGATAGTCAGTGCGCTTATGAAACAGAGTGATTAATTGCCAATCTGACCTTAATATGAGATCTGCAGAGGCCCTTGGCAGCATACAGATAGACTTTCCTGTCCCAGGCTAATGGTGGGGTGAGCGAGGGGATACTGTGGGTCTGACCCAGGATTTATTGTAGGACAGTGGAGTACAAGAAAAGGTTAAAGTTCTCAAACACGTGTGTAATGCTGAGGTCACAGCCCTGATTGGCCCTGACACTGGAAGAAAACAACCAGGTAGATAGATTTCAGAATCTTAAATCTGCAGGTGCCTCCCAAACTCTTGGCTACAAAAGTGGCCCCCTCCTCTGTATACCTCTCTAAGATGATAGAGAATGGGCTGGCATTGTGGCACAAGGGGGTTAAGCCACTGCTTGCAACAACAACATCCCATATCAGAGCACAGTGTGAGTCCTGGCAGCTCTGCTTATCATCCAGCTCCCTGCTAATACACCTGGGAAAGCAGCAGATGATGGCCCAATCACTTGTGCTCTGCCACCCACATCAGAGACGTGGATGAAGTTCCAGGATATTGGCCTAGGCCTGGCCCAGTCCTAGGCATGGCAGCCTGTTGAGAAGTGAACCAGTAGATGCAAGATCTCTCTTTCAGTCTCTCCCTCTCTCTCTCTCTCTCTGTTGCTCTACATTTCAAATATATAAATTTTTAAAAAAATGATGTAGAAAAACAACATGCACCAACCATGTATCTGCTCTCATAGCCTCTTTTTTGCCACAATGCAAGTACCTCAAGCACAAATAGCCCAGTTAGGTACATCCTAATGAAGGGGTCTCTACATATCCTGGAAGAGATGCGCGAATCACCCAACATAAACCAGTAGATGTCTAGTTTAGACCTGAGGATGCGAGATGTCAGCCTGCAGAAGGGACAGCTGTCAATTTAGAAGCATTCTCCCCAATACAGGATTTGAATGGTTTGTTTTGTGCATCTCTTACATATAGCATATTTGGCTCCAAGAAAAGGTTCTTTGGCAGGACCTGCTGCTGTGCCATAGCGGGTAAAGCTGTCACCTGTGGTGCAAGTATCCCAAATGGGTGCTGGTTCAATCTAGACTACTCCTCTTCAGATCCAGCTCTCTACTATGGCCTGGGAAAGCAGTGGAAGATGGCTCAGGTGTTGGGCCCCTGCCCCTGTGTGAGAGACCCAGAAGAAGCTCCTGGCTCCTGGCTTTGGATTGCCCCAGCCCCAGTCATTACAGCCATGGGGGACTGAACCAGCAATGGAAGATCTTTCTCTCTATTTTTCCCTTGCTCTGTCGGTATACCTCTCAAAAAATACATAAATAAATCTTTTTTAAAAAGCACTAAAAAGCAAAACAAAAAGATCTTTGGCAAAAGGTAATGAGCACTGGGCAAACAACAAGCTAGATTCATTTCCCCTTTAAATTTTGCATCCTAGTCCTACATCCAGGTCTCCTCTGCCCCTTACCCTTCCATCCTCTCTTCCCACACCTCTGATGACTCCTTCCTCTGATCCTCCCTGCCCATACCCTCTACCCTTTCCACTTGCTCTCCCAAGAACCTAAAATGCCATTTACCTTGAAATGTTGATTCCCTTATGTACCAGGTTTTCAGGAAACTGTTGTAGAATTTAAACCTTACACTCAAGATTAATCAAGAATAGCATGTCTTCTGAATCCAGACAAGATCACCAAATATTCATGGACGAGATTAGAATTCCTTTGGGTACATATGATCTAGGATTACCTGACATTTCAACTCATCCACATACTGGACAGAATCACAGGTGCTAAATCCTGGAGGGCAAAACCTGATGGGACTTCCTCAGCAGGAAATCTACAGCATCTTTCTCTCCATAAACCTGGGGCTCAAC